AAACATCTATTAATTTTAGTAGCTTACTAAAGCAATTGTATATTGCTGGCATTTGAGAAGAGTTTGGAAGGAATAGAGGCAAAGCATTTGACATTAAACAAAATGTGTTTTTTATATTTATAGTTAAGCTCAAAATTTCTCTAAGATAAAAAGTAACTATGTCTAAACCTCAAAGTACAATCTGTAAACATTTTCAGTCAGTGATTAAATATTCTCAGTGTAAAAGAAATCTGCTGCTATAAATAGTTATCCCTAAGACAGCAAATACCTTAGGCAAGCCCGTAGTTCCAGATGTGTAAAGAATATACAGTGGATGTTCTGAAAGAACAGGAACACAGTCATGTGATTGTGCTTTTGCCATCTCTTCATCCCAATCAAGATCACGATCTGGAGCCAAAGGAACAGTCTCCTACATGGCAAAAATATAGGAATATGCACTGTATAAGGGTGATTAAATCAAAAGAACATAAAGTAGCTAAGTCTAAATAAGTGCACATCTGTCTGAAAATCTAGACTATCTGGCAGTAAACATCATCAGATTTATGTCAAAAAAATCTCAAGGTTCAGGAGTTAAGGTAAATTTTTATAAGAAACAGTTTGATGTTGGCTTCCACTAAACTGACAAAATAAACATGCTTTATTCAAATCTAAGGATACCATTAAAATTTCAGAGTTTGACTAATAGAGGTTTATGTTACCATAGATGTATGTACACTAATAACTTTATAAAGTAATTTCTATTTTTCATAACCTATTTCTTTTAGTTTAGAATGGTCATCTTCCCAATGAAATGTCAAATACTCATTAAAATTTACCTTCATACAAGGACATTTAAGAATAACACCACAGCTACCTTTCCAAATGAGGAAATATTACATCTTCTTCAGATATAGGAGAGAGTTTTATTTTTGCTTTTTGAAAACCAAACAGCAGTTTTGAAATTTAGTCAGAATATATGATATTTCTAAAATGCTATTCAACTTTTCCTGCTAGGTCACTAATTAATGTGGTAGAAATGCTCTGTTTGTTTTCTACTTTTTGTTCTCAGAACCAGGCTCTGTGTTGTAAACTTTGTGACAATATAGTCATTATTTAAACAGACACACCTTTAAAGAAATTAAACAGACCTCTTTAAAAACAATAGCAATGAAATGGCCAGGCTGGTGAAGAGTAGGCAAGTGGTTTACAGAAAAGTTATTCTAATGTGGAGTTAAAGCTACTTAAGTAGAGATGATATCCATTAAATGTCTGGTTATTTTCTGAAATGTTAAGCAAGCTTAAGATTACATATCAGGAAATTTATAATTGGCGAACATGTTAGAGAGACACAAGTAAGTCTATGCATTCCTCAGGAAAGTTAATGAGCTCCATCATCTAGAGAAGTATGCAACCATTCATTTCATCAAGGTGATCCTTGAGCTAAACTCAAAGACCCTGAGAGGTTCAGAAAAGACAAGCCACTTCCATTGTCTAGGCTCCTAATAAGAGTTGTATAAATTGATCATATACTTAAACAAGTACATTTACGCTTTGCATGGAACCAGAGAAGACCCCATATAGCAAAAGCAATCCTAGGCACTAAAAACAAAATGGGAGGTATCAATTTACCAGACTTCAAAGTATACTACAAGGCTACAGTAATTAAAATAGCTTGGTACTGGCACAA